GCCTCAGACTCCCAAGTAGCTGGGACTATAGGTGCCTGCCATAACGCCTGGCTATTTTTAGAGACTGGGTCTCACTCTTGCTCAGGTTGGTCTGGAACTCCTGAGCTCAAGCAATCCTCCTGCCTTGGCCCCCCAGAATGCTAGATTACAAGTGGGCCCATATCCATCTTTCCCTTACTTCCCAAGAGGTCCCAAGATCTGACCAGCTCTGAATGATTATCTCAGTGTAACTCCAAAGCCAGAATCTCTAATCAGACTACAAATTATCTGAGCTTGGGCTAAGTGTTCATCAGCTAGGACAGAAGACAGCAGGGGAGAGGGCTGCCTTGGATAAAGATGAGTGCAGCAGTCTCCTTTAGGTGTGCAAGGCAGGCAACAATTGACATGTCAGGTTCCGCCGGCAGAAGGGCTGTTTCTGTCTCCAGAGTGGCTGTCTGAGGAGCTTGGAGCATGTTTGTGTCAACCCTCAGTGCTGCAGACTCCCAACAGATACACATCCAACTATAGCTCTTGAATCCTAGATCTCTCAGATCAAATGTGGCTGAGTGACCTGAGATCCCACAATCCCATGCTCCTGGGGCCCAGACCTCCCCAAGACCATACCAGAGAAGTCTGAGAACATATGCCAAGTTGTATGCACTTTATGTTCTTTATTGTCACATGTTACCCATGGGACAGGGTGAGATGGGGAGGGAGCCCTCAGGCAGAAAAGTAGAAGGAAAGGGCAGTAAGTGAGAACCATCTATTTTCCAAGCTTTGTTCTTCCTCCCAACTGATGATGGTGGGGGCTTGGTCACCAGTCATGGGATAAGAAAACAGAACCCTTTAGATACAAGCACAGTGTTGTGTGAGAAGGTTAGGCACAGTCTCATATTTGAAAGAATAACCTCCATCTGAGGTGGTGCGGACACGCAGGGGCCTCATGGTCCCTGGGAGAGCAGCACAGCAGGGCTGGGCCCCTGGCACCAAGGAAAGGGGCTGAACAGGGGTAGGGGGAGCCCCAGAGACAGGCAGGGACAGGTCTGGTGGGGTGGGCAGCCCACAGTCACCGTGACAGTAGTGGAAGATAAAACTGGGAGGGTGCACGATCCACCGATCCCAGCCCAGCTCCTGGAAGGAGATGTTGAGTGCTGCTCTGTGGCAGTTAACATGGGCAGCCAGTTCCTCTGGAGGCCTCTGCAATAGGCGCAGAGCAGCAGGAGACCAAGGCCAGGGAATCGGGGGAGTTGAGCGGCGGGCTCTCTCCCCTCCACTGCTGCTGGGTGGTCTGGCCCTTGTATGGGCCACTAGGAAGGGTGTAGCCTCAGGCCGTGCTGAGCAGGAACAGAGAGGGCAGCGCAGCAGCAGCACTAGGACAGGATGTGTGAGCAGACGGAGGGCAGAGGCATCCAGGTGCAGCACAGCCCAGCGGGGGGGAGCCTGGCCCAAGGACATGGGCACAGTCATGGGGCCCCCAGATGATAGTGCCAGCAGGCCTAGCAGGGGCCCAGAGCTATTGGAGGCTGCTGTGCCACGCCTGTCCAGCCCTGTGTAGAACCACATCTGAGCCGAAGTCACCTGGCGGCTGCGTGTATGCTGGGACGGCCGGAACACATATGTGAAGAGTCCCTCTACATCCTCCCCGGCCAGCTTCCCAGCAGCTGGCTCATTCTCACAGCTGGCACCTGTAGGAGACAAAAGGGAAGGGAAAGGGCAGCCCTACTAGTAGGATCTGGGACCCCTTCTCACCAGGAGTGCTGGTGATGGGACAAGCATTCTTCTAAGTACCCTCCTAGATAGGGACTCTCCCGAGCCTTGGGGTGGAAATTTTATAGGCTCTGCATTTTTTAATTTAATCTTAAATGACTTAAAAAAAAAAGACATTGCCAATTTCTTTCTGAAGTGGTTTTATCAATTAATATTCCCATTATAAATGTGTAAGAGGCTCTGTCAGTCTCTACCTTCAATAACACTGAGAACAATTAGTTAGAGTTAAATGTTTGTTCATCGCATAATTCGAAATAACATCTTAAGTAGTGTGAACATGGGCATTTGTTGTATTATTCTTTTTTTTTT